GTGTTCTACAAGAGTGTCTCACAAGAGTGTCCCACAAGAGTGTCCTACAAGGGTGTCCCACAAGAGTGTCCTACCAGAGTGTCCCACAAGAGTGTCCCACAAGAGTGTCCTATAAGAGTGTCCCACAAGAGTGTCCTACAAGAGTGTCCCACAAGAGTTTCCTACAAGAGTGACCCACAAGAGTGTCCTACAAGAGTGTCCTACAAGAGTGTCCCAGAAGAGTGTCCCACAAGAGTGTCCTACAAGAGTGTCATTTGGACATATTAGTTTTTCGAACGTGTTTGCATTCGGGTTCGTGGGTTCCATCTTGTTTTGAGCAGAAACTTTGGTGATGAACTGGGGTCGTATTCTGTCCCAAAATGGCTTGCCCTCTGTTCTGTGATTCCGACAGGGGCAAAAGTGAGGTCAGAATCTCTTGATTCGACCTACACATTTCTCTTTGTGATCATGATGTTGGCTGGTGCTGTCACCAGGAATGGCAGGCTTGTTGCTCAAAAGCCAAATGGGCCAACTCGAGCATCTGAGAACATGGTACCCGCTGTTGCACTTTCCCGCTCCTTGTTCCAGGCGTTTGATCAAGAAGGATCCTTCAATGGTGTGTCAAGTGCTTTCCCAGAGGTGTCCCTTCTGAGGTTGGCAGATGATGGGAGCATCACCCCCGGGTTGCTCAGCCTCAAATTGCCAGATCAGATGAGAGACCTCATTCAGAGGGAATTTCTCAAGGAGTTGGAGCAGGATCTTCCTCGAACCCCCAAATCCAGAGGTCGCAAACGGACCCCGCAACATCGAACGTCGGGTTCGGCCCCAAAAGCACGGGAAAGGTACTTTGCAAGAAGGAGGTTGTGTTCAACGACACAAGCTCATGGTCGATGGCGCTCTCGATTGTGCTGTGCTATTCCATGACCATTTTGGCGAAGAAAGCTGGCGGCAACTATGCAAAAGGTCTGAGGGCTCAGAGCTTCTCTTCTGTGCCTTTGTCTCTTGGAGCTCCGATGATGACATGGAAAAGGCTGCCACAAAAGAAGTTCTCAAACAAGTGACCGAGTTCGGTCAGAAGGTATTTGAGGGCACCAAGGTGGTTGTGGTTGCCGTGCCGTCTCTGGCTTTCGAATCCTTGGCCAACCTCTTCAACTTTGATGTGATTGGGACGCAAGACCAAGAGGAAGAGATCAAGATGGGAGCTGATCACACCAACTTCGAAGGGAGGCGAAGAATTTGAAAGCAATGTTCAAAACCTGATCACGTTGTTTGAAGGTTTGAACAAGCGCAGGGATGAGAACAAGGGAGATCAGGCCAAGGGAGAAGGAGAGAAGCCTGCCGCAAAAGGGAAGGAGAAATCCAAGGCCAAGCCCAAGCCAGAGGAGCCAGAAGAGCCAGAACCCAGCGCTGAAGACACGGACACGGATGAGGAGGAGGAAGCTGCCCCTCAGCTGACTGTGAAGGCCAACCAGAACACGAAGAATGTCAGTGCGGTTGTTGCTGTCAAGTGCTGGAATCACAAAGTCATTGCAAAGAATCCTGTGCTGAATGACGTGGCACATGCTCAGATGTCTGCGCTCATTGGCATTGACTTTGTGTGCCTGGCAGTCAAGCCGGAGGGCCAACTAGGGCTATCTCTGCACGCTGGCACCTGCGTTGCTGGCGGGATGCCCTTTGCAAGTGGGCGGACCTGGCAGGACTGCAGCCAGAGAAAGAACGGCCAGGCCTTCTCCTTCCACAACGACCGCAGGATGTGGGCACCCAGAACCGCCGTCCTGCTGACATCTTTTAACCCAGCCTCCACGGCTCCCCTGCTGCGCTTGATTTGGCCATCACGGCCCCCCAGCGGCAGGACGTGGTGGTACAGGGCGCGGCGGCAGCATTGGCAGCAGCCACTGCTTATGCCGCTTCCAAAGCAGCCTATTTGAACACTGCCCACCTTTGCAGCCAGCAAGGCGTGCAATTTGTTCCCTTGGTGGCGGAGTCCACTGGTGCGTGGGAGCGGGCCGCCAGCCAACTCCTGCTACAGATCGCTTGCAGTGCCGCTGCTCGGACTGGGGATGACTCGGCCACTTTGCACAGCGACCTGCTGCAGGAGTTGTCTGTGATCATTCGCAGCCATCGGGCCCGCGCAGTCCTTCGTCGACGCGCTGAGCTTGTTGGCTGAGCGTGAGCCTCGACCGACCCACTCTCATTGTGACGATGGAGCGGCCCAGACAATGAGATGAGCTCCTCTGCTTTCGGGGTGCGTCCCCTTCTCCTTTCAGTTACACGGTTGCTTCTTTTTGGCCACCCGGTTTGTAGCCGATCACTTTTTGTTTCCTTGCTGTGACGGGACTTGTCGAAGCCAACCTCCGTTACCAGGGTTTTTCCCTTCGCAGAAGGGTTTTTCCCTGCGCTCGGTTTCACCGGGATTTTATGTCGCTACGAACGTGACAGTCCCAATGACCTCCGTTCTGTGATTGTTTGGTGCCAATGCAAAGGACTGGATGTGCCACATGTTGGATCCCCTGCCAACAGATTGACTGCATGTAGGGTGATTAAAGGATCACTGTAGAGGGGTTGTCACCGTCATTTCTTCAAGAAGTAGTCCTTCATGCCAAAGACAGATTTACAGTGTTTTCAGAGTAGATGGCACAAACCCGAAGCTGTCCTGAACAGATGGGGGGGGTCCATATAAACCACCATTTTGGGGGATTGTGCCATCTCTGTGCCTCCAAACCTACACGCTTCTGGGCTCCAACCTACCTCTGAAACCTGCTGAAAAACTCCCGCATCCCGCAATCATTCGCCGCATCACTCGCCACACAACCGACGCCAAGGAAGGAGTGGTGGCGAGTGGACGTGAAGAGCGTTGCTCGACCTCAGCCGGTCCGGTCCACGATCTGCGGTCCGGTCTGATGGCGACGGCGGTAGACGCACCGGTTGGAAGATGTGTGTGTGTCCCACCAGGACCAACCAATAACTAATATGGGGGTTGAGAGGGGGGTCCTTCTAAGACAACCCAGTTTAATAACTATAACGGATGTCGTATTGTATAATTATATGCATGGCTCGACGGCCAGACCTCTTGGCGCGTAATTCTTGGGATTGAAGTGTCATACCATCAGGTGAGTGTGGGATCAAATTTTTGTTCATAATGGATGGTGGTCAATTTGTCCATTTGCCACGTCCGCTGTCCGCAGTGAGAAAGCACCTGGATGCTGAACGGGACTGTTGAGGGTAGCTCGAGCAGGATACGTGTAACACGCTACAGGGACTGTTTCAGGCACCTGGATGTGGAAGGTATCAAAATTCACCATCGACACATCAGCAGCCAAATTCCCTAGCGGGGGGGTGCACGGTGCACCTGTTGAAGATTGAGCACCTAAGAATGGGCGTGCTGCTTGCGCTCGAGAACGGTCGATGGAAGTTCTTTGTAGTCCCTTGGGGGTTCCGCAGACCTTCTCAGGTTCGGTATGACTGTACCTTCCAAGACCACCTACATAATAAGAGAATCTCCAATCACCTTCTCAGAGGGTGGCAGTGGATTCATCATGGAATTATGAATCATGATAAAAACCCAGCAAGGAATTCAGATTCGCCAGTTGACCATGAGCTATTAGCAGCGTCCTTGCTCATTATTAGCGATGCCCTTTGTTCTTAGTAGCGATGCACTTCGCTACTAGTAGCTTCTTGCTCCTAGTAGCGATGCGCCTTGCTACTAGTAGTGATGCCCTTGCTACTAGTAGTAATGCCCTTGTTACTAGTAGCGTCCTTGCTCCTAGTAGCGATGCGCTTTGTTTCTATAGTAGGGATGTACCTTGCTACTAGTAGCTTCTTGTTACTATAGTAAGTAATGTCAGGAGTCCCTGGATGCCTTTGCCTTTCGCTTCGAGGACAGCTCCAGAGACCACGATCGCCCATCTCTCCCTGCGATCAGCCACGTGGACGGCGATCGGGCGATGCATCACTCGTTGACACCCAATGTGCTGGCATCTTCCAAGAAGGGGTCTCCAATACTCTAGAAGTCCAGTTCGACTAAAAATTTCGCACCACCCAAGTCGCAAGTAAAGGAACATTCCTTGACTCGGGTCACCTAAGTCAGACCATTCTTTGAATAGTCGATTGGACTTGCTGCGAGTCCGACGTACGCTTTGCGCGACCTTCGCACCCGTGGGACCACGACCTTCGCACCCGTGGATGGTCGGAGTCCAATCCTCGTGAACCAAGTAAGGCACCTGTTACTAATAGCTTCTTGTTACTACTAGTAAGGCACCTGTTACTAGTCGCGATGCACTTGTTACTACTAGCTTCTGGTTACTACTAGTTGACAAGAGGCCGCTTAGTGCCACGGGGTGAGTTGACCCCGTTTCGGATCGTGGAGGTGTTTGTTGTGGCGAACGTCACACTAAGAGCCTCATAATCATACATGTGTTATAAAGTTCATTGCTATGCGGCAGTAGAACATAGGGAGTCTCTTTGGCCCCTTGTTGGTCCTCATCGTAGCGTATCAGACGTCTCAAGAATCTTTCGTAACATCTTCACGATGTTGAAGTGGATTAAGCTGGAGTGGTCTTGAACAGTTTTGAACCTTGAATGGCCATTACTACTAGTAGCAAGAAGCTAGTAGCTTGGAGGCCACCGCTATTAGGTTGGAGGCCATTACTACTATACTACCCCCAGATAAGTTAGGAGTTGTGCCAAATATGAGATGGGTTGTTTCTTGCACAAGTCCTGACACATGTGTCTGAGAAAAGTTGACTGAAAACATTCAGGAGGCACATGAGATAGGAGTTAAAACATGTTAAAATATGTTAAAACCATTTTATCTATGTGTTCAATTGTGTAATAACGTGTTCGTCGTTTGTACCCCACTGACATCGTGTTTCATTGATGTTGTTTGTGCACGGATGAAGTGAAACCTGATGCCGTGAACCGTCAAACGCAGCGACCCTAACCACCACCCAGTGGGGCCTGGTTTTCAGGTGAATCTTCCCACCGCGTTTTCCTCGAAGAAAAAGCAACCAAAACACGGAAAGTGTTGGTGTCCTTTTTGGCCGCGGCAACCCCCTTTATGCCCGAGGCCTGCCGCGAGGCGCGGGACTCGCGCGGGACGAGAGGAGTCTTCGCGTCTTCGCGTCAACACCACTTCGACGCGGGGGGTGTCGAAGTGGTGAGTTGATGGGATCGATGTTGAGATACTTGAGACACTGGTCTATCGCCAACTGTTTTTTTGAGACACTGGTTTAAACTTAATGTGGTGATTCTTCAAGAGTGAATCCTCGAAGATGTTATTTCGTTGGACCCGGTCTCAAAAAAGGTCTCCGACCTGGTGGCTGGCTTGAGTGGAGATCTCTTTTGGTGGCGGGTGGTGACCTGTTGGAAGATGCTATTTATAATTGGTTCATGAATTCAAAATCCAAGAACTTGACTTCCACCGTGTTCCACAGACATTCCCTGAAAGGATCGTGGAAGTGGTGGTGGATGGCACCACCAGTCCTTTGGGCGCTGTACCTTCGGCGAGCGTACCTTCGAAATCACCTGGTGTTGCTGATCAGGTGATTCATGCTCCCCAAAATGGATGAATGCCCAAAGCACTTTGAACTCTTGTTTTTGGTGTCTCAGCTTCGACTGCAACTCTAACTCCAAGATGACTATTCAAAACCATCTCTGCTTGTGTCCCCTTGCTTTCTCAGGGAATCTATGTCCCGCATGGTTCCCACAGTTTCTATCCCCGTGTCGACGTCCGACCTTTCAGCGAGCCCTTAAGGTAGCGTCCCAAAAGCTACCAGATCCGTCCTTGGACATGCTGGAGCAGGATGTATATCCTTGTGTTGCTTATGTAAGGTAATGTATTTGTTCTCTGGGTGCATCCCCTGGCATTGGACATAATTCTGTTCCCAGCTCCTTAAGCAAATTCAAGATATTCGAAGAAAGCCAGGTGCCCCACGCGGCTGGTCGTGACAAATCTTGACTAAACAACCCCTGCGTTCTAGAGGCAGCGATTGGTCAACAAGAAGAATTTGTTTGTGTTTTTCTCCTGGTATTTGGGCCATCCGTGGTGAGCGCGGCTCGCAGAAGTTTGATGGCAGGCAGAGGTGAGAAGGAGAATGCTCGGCTACCGACTTTACCAATGAGTCTCGATTGCATTCGCTGCCGCTACTAGCTGTCCAGGAATTGTTCTTTTTGTCGACGAAGTTCAGACCATCGTGAGAAAGACAAGAGAGAATCATCACAGGTTCAAGAAGATATATAGGTTTTGCTTAGGGCGATGGTTGATTTTCTCTCCACCTGAAGTGACAAGCCCCAAACCTGTTTTTTTTGCCCCAGCTTCCTTTAAAAGAACCACTCCCAGAAGAGTCACGGGAACCTCAAAAACACTGTCCGTTTGCACAGCTGCCTGGAGGTGTTGGACTCGGTCAGTCGAGGGTGTCCAAACTGAAAAATGACCAACAACTATAGGAGCTTGCAAGCACCCCTGGCCTCCAACCTAATAGCCATGGCCTCCAACTTACAAGAGTAATGGCTTGCAAGCAACCCCTTTTTGGAGGGAAACGTGTCTGTGTGTTTTTTTTTGCCTACTTTTCATGATTGTTTCCGAAAGTAACCATAAACATCAACAAACTTTCAGAAAAGCTCTCGCAGTTTAAAAAGAGAACTCGTGCAAGCTGGTCCACTATTAAGTGAACTGAAATAGATGTGCCCTAAGAATCTATGGCAGAAGTTGGGCCCTCCATAGCAGGGGTCTGGACCCTCAGTGGTTCGGGCCCGGATTCTTAGGGTGGAATTTCAACATGGAATCTGGGATCGGATTACAAAACAGATCCAACATGGTGACTTCACTATCTATAACCAACAGGAGGATGGATCATGTTGGAGCAACAACAGCAGCTGGTCAGACGGATCACCTGTTGGTCTTGGCAGCTGTGGCCGATGATAGCACGGCTCTGAAGAGTGCCCAGTAGACCAGCTGTTGCTCAGGACAGAACGATGAGGGTCAAGTCACCGGGGCTATCCAGATTCCCAAACAGGGAGCCAAGGAGCTAGGGGGAGTTCCCCAAGCCCCGATCCACCGATCCAACGATCCACCGTTCCAGGTCTGTGAGTCTATCCAGGGTTGGGAAGGGGAAGTCAAGAGGTCGAATCATGGGTCACCTGGCAATGACGATGCTGGTAGTAGAACCA